GGGTACAACGGCGGCGGCGGAAACAGTGCCAGCAGCAGGAGTCGCAGCGGCGATGGGAGCTGCAGCAGTGGAAGCTACTGTGGCAGCGGAAGCTGTTGCAGCGGCAGCGGAAGCTCTCGCAGCGACGAGAGCTGTCCAGGCAACAGAAGCTGCCTCGACGACGGGAGTTGTATTTGCCAGGGCAGCTCCCTTAAACGCTTCCTCGTTAAACATTTCGAGTGTGAATAACTAAATATTTCAAAAATGTTAAGAATTAAGTAAATATTAAATATTTATTTAAAATAAATGTCAGAGAAAAATTACTCACGTCATCGACATCTATGATTTTTTGAAATAAATGAAAATCAAATCCATTCTCATGGCTGCCACTTTCATGGCTTTTGCATACAGAACGTAACAATGCTTGCTGTGCGGTGGAAGTTAATAGTGATAGCCAATCGTTCTTTTGCTCTTATCAAAAATAAATTGGCTATTACAGTTCATCCTAGTTAGAGATCCTATAATAAGAATTTCGTCACGGTAGCCAATTTTTTTATTGATTCACTAGATTTTGTCAACTTCTGCTTATTTGAATCACGTTAATCTTATCGATACAATATAAACTTTGTATTTCAGCAACATAAATAAGAAATGTTTCAAAAAAAATATCATTTTTTTAATGTAAAACATAACAATAATTCTTTCTAAAAAATAAATCGATACTTGCATTTGTCAAAATTCTCGAAATTTATTAATGTATATAAAAATGAACCATGATATTTCTTTACTCTTTCTATTTTTTGAGTTGTAAATGCGGCTGTATATTTTTCGAAGTAAACGATTTTGTTCTTGATATATTTAGGCTGCATTCCATAAAACGCATATACGCGCATTTATACGCGCATTTATTACGCGTATTTATCTATAGTTCATGTCACAACAAAAATGCGCGCATATGCGCTTACGGAATCCAACCTTAATAGCTGGTGGTTAGCTGGTATGACCAGAATCTGAAACGTATTATAAAATTCATTGTTTATTTTACATAGGTTAATATATCATTATTCATATCATAATTTTTTTAACAAATAAGAGGGATTGATGCATCCTCATACTGTTGCAATACGTTTTGCAATTGTAATGCAATCTTTCCGATCAACAAACGTCAGATGATTATACACTGTTTGAAGTAAAAATGTCAGATGTCTAGTCAAACGCTGGATTATCTGTGTAAGAGAATAATACATTTAAAAAAAACGTTACTGAAATATATTAGAAAATATTCTAATAATCAAGAGACACGAGTGGTGTCTCGACGCTAAGTTCACGCGCCGTTCACGTAGAACGGCGACGAGACGCCCGTGACTCTATTTACGCGAGACCCCGGGATGAACTTGGTCTACATTTTCATATCTCAGCAATGACTGCATCGATTAAGTTTTAACTATGTTTAATCGATAGCTGAGTATCAAATATATCAAGTATCAATTATATCAGAAAAATGTTTTTATTTTTTTTCTCCGTGTTCTACAAACTGAGATATCGCGACGCAATCGTGACGCAAAGTTCAAATTGGTAAATTTAAGAAACGTTTTGGTCATCGTTGACCGTGACTCTCTTTTTTCTGTCGCAAGAGGCGCTAATGAACATCTCTGTATGACAGTTCTTGCAGCGCTCATTTTTTTTATTTGGTATGTCTTTGACAGATGTCCTTCATGTGAAGTTGTACGTATTGATTAATAAGAAAGAAGATATAACGTGTGTCACATATAATAGTAAGTAATATTATAATAATACATTGAAAAATAGAATAAGAAATAGAAATAGAAATAGAATTAGAATCAATTTTATTTTTTTTTATTACGTCTTGAAGCTGAATAAACATACACATCAATGAATATAAATAAACATAAAACATACGAAAATTAACACGGATCAAAAGAGAGTATTTGATAGAATTATTAGCACTATTAAATTAAATAAATCAGAATTACGATTACATAGCGGTAAAGGTGATACTGGAAAAAGTTTTCTAAAGACTATTAAATGTTGGATAAAACAAAATCTTAATAAAGAAACTGTTAGCAGCACCTACAAGTATTGCAGCATTTAATATAGACGGTTTGACAATTCACAGATTGTTCCAATTATCTGTTGAACATGATCATACTCCTAAATATAAACAATTATACTCATCATGTA